TTTTCGCTGGGCCCCTGGATGCCTTCCAAAAAATGGGAAAAAATTCGTTTATTGGAGAGGAGAAAATTTAATGCGGTCACTGGCTTTTTGACATGCCGCAAACTATTTTCAAATGTGCTCGTAGACGGAGTCCCATTGCTATTTTCTACAGAGTATTCATTTCGCTTTGGTCAGCGCATTGGGAGTTTGCTTTTTTGTTATTTTTAGCGCCGGCTAGAGTGAAGTGTGCCCGGTCCGTGGAGCATCCTTCAACGTTTCTTATGTAAATTTCCCGTCGATTTTGTGTTATTTTTTTGTTTTGCTTTTTGTTTGCCATGCCACCAGATGACGATGGCGATGGCGATGATGATGTTGTCGGTTTGTTAGAGTGCAACTGGCTGCTCGGGGGCCAGTTGAAAACTAATAAAACGTCAAAGCAATTTTGACAACATGCAACTTGGAGATCTCGTGGAGGCACAGAAACACACAAAAACCCACACACAAATCTTCGGTTTGAGTTGGAACAGCCTGTGAATATGCTCCTCTCCACAAAGCGAAAAGTTACTTCGTAAGTTTTTCATCTTTTGCCAGTTTTTCTTTTCGCAATGCTTTCATTTCGCCATATTTCTCCTGGCCCTTGTTTGGGTAGGGGCCACTGTCTGGAGGAAAACCAGAGACTTGGGACGAGCTTAAAGCTATCTAACTGGCATATCAGCCATAAAACCGAGCATTAAAGCCGTGTGAAAATTGCGGCTCAAGTGCTAGACTTTGAAACAAGATATATGCTAGATTAAAGGGTCGAGGAGGTGTTCTGTTGGCGATAAGCGTTCTTTGTTTATAGAGTTGTCAAGTGCTCATAAAAATCGAGGTACTCTACGACCCTGCTACGACTACCTGCCGGGCGGAATTGGACACGCCCGATTTCGGGTAACATGGGTTAAGTGCGGCGTCATTAGCACACACCCGCACAGTGGGACAAGAGCCGAGGATGGAGCGGGATTTGCGATTTGCCGGAACCACAGCGTGTTGCCGACACATAAACAATACTATACACTCTGCTACAAGGTTGCGCGACAGTCAAACGCAAACAGTTTTATGGCCGATCGTAGAAGGCGCTTCACACTCCTCAGCGCATCTCACTTTGAATGGGAATGACTCAGTCCGAATTGACCTCAGTACACTCAGAGAAAAAAGGCTTTAATTTGTATCCTTTGTATTTTTGTTTATAAATTTGTATGCGCCTGTTACCTTTTAAGCAAGCATAATAATCAGGCTTTTAAGAAACCTAGTTATCACAAATGTTTAATGATAAATATATATTGTAAGGAAAGGCGCCTTCATTTTAGCTAGAGTCAAATGTTGTTCCTAGTGTATCCTCTGCGCTTGTCATGGAGTGCGTGAGTTCGGAACATTAACTGCCAAGGACCTTTCATTTCCAAGTCATTCTGGCGAATGGGAAAAAGTCTCATAATAAAATTATAAATGTATTTGATGTGCCAGCCGCCCACAGGAATCGTTCCCGAAATAATTTCTCTTTTCTGTGGCCACTCGCAAATGTGTCTCAATTCAATTAATTTGTGTTGGGAACTGGGATCTGGAATCTGGGATCCAACGTGTTGGGCTCTAAAGTGGCCCCAGTCAGTAGGCAACTTGGCCGCAGGACCTGCTGCGTTGTTAAATTTTAATACTGCGGTTTATGTGCTTGCTACGTACATATATCTGGAGGTTTTGGGCAAATTAAATTTTAATTGCTTGTGGTCCGCCCAAATTGGCAGTCAGTGGCGGTTTGGTGCGCTGTTTGGTCTGCTGGGTTTACTAGGCATCCAGTATTTATCAGACCATTCATTGCTTCTGTGCGATACCGACAATAACCCAAAAATTCAGCCGAAAACTTTGCCAAATGCTTGACAAAAGTGCAACGAACCGTGCGGCGGGCCGGGCGAGCAAAAAGGAAAAATGTGCTGGAAAAATTGGAGAGCGCGAGCAGAAAATTATGAAAAATACCCGCTGAAAATACGAGTATTTTCCCGGCCGCAGCAAATGCAAATTCATGAAAAGACCAAGGCAAAGCCGACTTTGCTCTTGAGCTTGAAAAAGGCGCAGACGGGAGCGACGCTTCCAAATGGAAATGGAAATGGGTATTCAAATGGCCATGGAGCTGGGAACTCTGCGAATGGTTATTCTGCAGTTAGGGATCTCTGGAGTGGCGGTGTCAGACTGACTGCTGACGGTTCAGTTGAGTAGTGTGTCTGGGCCGGGTCTGACAATTACGTCAATGGCGCAAATGTCGAAAAATGTAACAAACAAAAAACCCGTTAAGCGCAGAATGCCATCGCAATTTATAGCAGACTCATCGTCGGAATCTTTGTCATGGCATTTGATACACTCCGAATCAAATGGGTTACTTGGCTGGAACGTACCGACTTGATAGAATAGTTACCTCTGTGGGCATGGGCTCATTGAATGCTATAATACTACCTGTTTCTTATTTGTTAGCTTTTGGTACTTTCTATTCCTTATACTTTTTGTAGCTTTTATTACAATAATTCATCTACTTAGATATCTTAAAATTTTCCCCACAATTTGTTTGTCATATTAAGCTCTCCATGGGACTGTTCTATCTTTAGGATACTGTAATAATTTATATAACTTTGAACTGAAAAGGGTATTAAGTTTACGGCCAGCACTTTTCGCTTGCTCCTTTTCCTGGTTTTCCCTTCTGATTCATTGCAGTTTCTAGTGAAACTTTAGTGCATTTGTTTTTTTGCGTTTTGTGTGTTGTTTGGTTGTTTGTTGATGATGGCTCACTGGTTGCCAGTAAGCTGGGCAGACGATGCGTCTGCTGACTGTTGCCTTTTGGCGCTTTGCCTCTGCTCTCTGATTAACTCATTCATACATTCTGGCTTTCCAGAGAAAAAGAGAGAAAAAAAAAAATAAGTGGTAGGTGGGGGAAAGTGCTGGGGGATTCGAGTGGGTGTGGCATTGTTGAAAGCCTCCCACTTCTGCGCCCAGCCCTTGATTATGATTATTTTCATTTCAAAAACTTGGCGGCGCAGAAAAAACCGCAGCCCAAGCACAATTCTCTGTGTAGTTGGGTAAAATATTTAAAGTGCGCCGCGAGTGGTGTAGTATTGCTAACCAAAACACACTCACACCCACAGAGCGGCTCCAACACTCACGCGATTTGTGTACCCTTTGTACAGTGGAACCTCTGTAACCCGAGCTGTTTTGAGATGGAACACGAAATTAATCTGATTTAACCAGGTATAGAACTGAGGTATAGTTTACGGATATGGATTACCTAATTCTAATTTAAATACAAACTTGTGCTCCCAAGGTTTCTTTACCCCCATGATGATGGTTTTGAAATCAAAGGATGTATCCTTAAATTAAATGGTGGATACAATCTAAAGTCGACTGTTAGTTTGCCCATCTTTGTGAAGTTCCACTGTGGATGGTGCGTGGTTTCTGTTGTTTCTGCTGTTACTTGGCTCGTTTAACTTTGAGCAGCTCTGAATTGCAGCAGCCGGCATGCCGGTTTTTTTTTTCATTTCTTTTTTCCCTACTGCAACTTTAATTGGACATGGGTTGCTGTTGTTGTTGTCGCTGCTGCTGCTGGCGTTGGCAAACGTGTTTTATTATTTTGGTTAAATTTGGCATTCGTTTCCTACGCGGCTTGCAGCGAGGTCAACTCATCAGTTCGTTATCGTTAGGTGCAAGTGTGTTTTGGGTAAAGAATTCAAATAACTTGATTTACTCACCTCCTGGCTGGTGACCTATGACCTTAGGGAGCAGGGGGTGGTGATAGTGGTAGTGGCGGTGGTGGAAAGGACATCCCCTTTCGCACTGCTTGTTGTTGGTGCAAAATCGAAGCAAATTAACCGATAATTTGTTGTGAGCAAAGTAACACGCACACACACAAACGCACCCGCGGACGCACTGCACACAGATACACCAAACACTCCCTCTCTCTTTCTCGCCTCTCTCACTTTGTGTATTTTGTTTGTTCTGGCTTTGCTTTGCTTTGGTTTTGCTTTTCTTCTGCTTCTGATTATGCTTTTACTCCGCGATGCAGGCAGCGCGACGATGCAACATCGTTCACTTTTCACATTTGCCCCAGCTGAATGCACTTTTATCTCGCTTTTGTTGCATTGCCTCTCTTGTTTTGACTGCGGCAGATGCGGCTCCGCCTTCTGCTTCTTCTTCTTCTGCTGCTTATCCTGTTTGTGCTCCCCCCTTCCTCGTAACCTATCGCCGCGTTTGCTTCACACAGCTATCCTGCGTGGGCAAGGATGTCGTGCTGTGCGTTTTCCCTTCCGTCTCAATTGCACATCCTTTTCGGAGGAAAGTTTTAAGCACACACATTTAATTCGGTATTTTCACGGCGATTCCGTTCGCGACCGACACTCATCGCGATTTATTTTTCTCAAATTTTTCGACGGCACAGTCGCGTTTTACCATTTTAAGAACCAATCGAACCGAAAAGCGCAGGGTGTTTGCTGCTCTTATAAAGAAAATCCCCCAAATGCGCAACTGAATGTACTAAAAAATCCAGCTTTTCCTCCGAGCTCATAAGTGCGTTCGCGGTACCGCGATCTTGCTATCGATAACCGATATCGTTTATTTTATAACCAGTTTCCTAGTATATACAGGCCTTTATGGTTAGGGTGGTGAACTCCGCTAAATGGAGTGAAACACGGCTAAGGTGGTTTTATTCGCTATTTGAAATAGCGATGTTAACGTGCAATTTAAATTTCATAAATCCTTTTTTTTAAAGAACATTAAAGATGTTAGCCTTCTGATAAACTATATTTGACAAACATTTTAATTAGCCTTCTGAAAAACCATATTTGACAAACATTTTAGATAATTTGGTTTTAAACGACGTGCAAAATAAATACCGTTTTGACCGTTTATCTTACACCCAAGCAGTAGTACTAATCGATTTTTGATGATAGGTTATAATATTTAACCGTGCGACACGCCTTTTTAGTAATTAGTACATTGTGAACTTCAACGATATGAATATCCCACTTATGGTCGCTCGGATGTGGGTTTTCGGTGCCCTGGTACACGGAGTGCCCACCACACGCCACACAAACATGAAGTGCGAAGTTCATGATGAATCCTTTGTTGAAGTAAAACAGTGTCGATTGAAAGTCCTGGGTCGCGGAATTATCGGAGCTAACGTTTACTTGAAATTGAAAGTGATGCCCGTGAAGACGGTAAATGTCAATTTCAGTGTGTGGAAAAAATTGTCCGGCTACCATCCATATCTATTTAATACCACCGTGGATGTTTGTCACATTTTAAAGCACCCGAATCCGTCAAATGTATTCTTCTACTTTTATAGGGCATTAAAGCCCTACTTCAATGCTAATCACTCGTGTCCGTTCAACGTGAGTTTGTTTCGAAGTTGCCTCTTCAATGGTTTTCTATTAGTTTTTTACCTACAGCACGACATTATACTGAAGAATTTCGTTTTGGACGACAAGATGTTCTCCCTTTTTCCAATTCCCATGGGCAACTACATGTTTGCTATAAAAATTATGGCCAACGAGGCTTTGAGATTAACTATTTTTTCCTATATGGATGTTAACGTTGACAAATTGTAGACTTTGTATTGAAGCATGTACATAATAATCATTAAATCATTTCATTCACTGAAAGGTCTCAATATTTTCCTTTTTAGCAATGACATCATCCATATTTTATTTTACTTACAAGTACTTACATCGATTTTAGCTATGACTTAAACCGTTTAACCCTTCAAAATTTTGAAATGTATACATGAGCATAAAGTTTAAATCACATGATATTGTAACTTGCTTTAGACTTTCCTAAGTATCTTATATGGTATATTATCAATCTTATTGTGGCAGAAATTATTTATAAGAAGAAATTAAATTATGTGTTTTAGGAAATGAAAAATTGTCATTTGTGTAAGGTAGCTTCCGGTTGGTGATAAGAAGCATACATATGTAATGGACTAGTGGTGATCCATAAATGGTAAGCCGCCAAGGACGAAAAGTGCAAGACGAAGTCCGTCCCGTAAGATTCCTTATGTTGATCCCTTTGACTCAGATGCAATGGCCAGTTTCCAGCCCGAGCACTTCAAGACCTGCTCCAACGACAGCGATATGTACTATCAAAGCCTAAAATGTTTTGCGTAACTTGGGTTTCCAATTGGTTTCCAGTTGCAAAGTCAGGACGTGAAAAAATGTACTCATTAATAGCGTAATTGGCGCTGGCACTTCCCAGATCTGAACGTGATCTTGATTAATGATTGCATCTATTAAAATTACCCACAAGTCCGATCATCTTCACAGTCGCTGCTTCCAGCTAGAACTGCGGATCGAGATTAGACCTGGCTAACCCATGCTGCTCATGCTAGATCATTCCTAATCTATCTAGTTCTAATAATTCCAGACATTCATCAAGGCGCCTCGCAGGTCATCAGTGATAAGCGGCAGAGGCACCTTGCCGTGGGCTTTTCTAGGTTCAAAGGGCGGCTGGCAGGGTGGAACCCAACCGAGCTCACCTCTTTTTCCGCTCCTTTCAGTCGGACTTATCTGCGCTTATCATCGCGTGGGTTGTTTACCTGCACAAGCGCACGTTTAATAACAAAGGAGTCGCCCTTTCTTTCCTTGCGAGCTTTCCAGCTGCATCCAATGAACTTTATGTGGCTTGCATTTTGTCAGCAGCACTCATAAAAACCTATCTAAAATTGAATCTAAGGTGCAGCAGTGAATAATAAAATAAGATTCCGCACTTGAAACCGTTCGTCGGGCGGAATCATTAAGCAGGATTTCATCATGTGATGGGGCTGACTTTAGGTGACTCCATGGAAGAATGTTAAGGTTCTGATAATTTCAAAATTGAAAGCAAGGGTCTTTCTTAAGTGACAAAATGTCACTGAAATGCATCGAATGAATTATATTTATTATCCTGACGCGTGGCATTAAAGTGCGAAAGTGGTGGCATTGCAGCAGTAGGTCCAGCCAGCGGCTGCCACACTCTCCAGACTCATGGGGCAGGTGATGCTGGTGCAGAAGGCTGGAGCCGGAGGTCGAGTTCTGGCAAAGATGTTGTTCAGGGTGAGGAAAACACTGTGCGGTGCATTGGACGAGGTGCGGACCACCTTGTAGAGCCACAGGGGCATTATGTTCTTGGTGCCGGCGCCCAGGATAATGCGACGCTGGCGATTCCGATTGTCAGGAAGGAACAGATCACCATTGGTCCCCGTCTTGATCCTCAGCGATCCGCCGGCACTTATGCGTGTTCGAATCCACCTCTCGATGGTCTCCCAATTCCGATCGTTGATGCTCTTGAACATGGGTGCCACATTGACATACTTGAAGGTGGCGCACATCTGGTCTCCATAGAGGTAGTCACCCGATGGCGTCAGATGTCCACGATTGATGACCACGTCGCGTTCGTTGGCAATATACCTCTGGCTATTGCCGAAGATGGTGCGGAATGCACGGTAAATGTTGCGGGGCAGGAAACTTTGGGTATCGGCCTCGCTGAGCACACCATCCCTGCTGAAATCGGCACAAGGACGCTGAGGGACTGTAAAGTGGCCAAAATATACCCATTGTATTCTATGCTAGGAATCAGAAAGAGCTCGCTTACAGAAGGTCTTGTGGTACACGGAGTGGGTAGTAAGCCGGGCCCGAACTCCATTGCGATCGTAGCACGCGCGGTAGAGCTCCAGACGCCGATTGTTGATGGTATAGCCCACGGAGTACATGGTGGCTGGACAGGAGGCATCCGCAACCGCCGTGGCTGAGGCAGCCAGTGGTCTCTGGCAGCGCATTGGGAATGGCCTGCTGAAGTTGTTGTGCGTCCGCTGACAGGTCGTCTGGACGATGTCGTTCGGCTGGCAGATCATGTGGAGCACCTCGTTGGTGCGGACCCTCTGCAGGCGCTTCAGTTCGTACTGGCCGGCGGCATTGCGGTTCGTGAAGATCCTATTGGTGCCCTCGATCATGGCCCTGGAGAGCGGGCAGTCCGCCTGGGACAGGAGCACTGAAATGGAAACGGTTGGAAACCAAGTTGGACCTGTTATTTGCTGCATTCCCTATTAATTTATATTCAATTTACAATCGGCAGGATATAAGTGATTAATATTTATGTTTTCTTACCCAGTCCCAGTCCAATGGTTACGATTAGGAGCAGTTGTGGGGCTTCCATGTTGCCTGTTGATCACTGAGTTGAGCCAGTGGTGCTTATATAGCGTTTAGGCCGGATTTTCTGACCTGGTCCCTTTGTTCTGGCCAGGCTTGTGGCACGTGTCTGCATTCAGACAACAGACTATTTTTGGCCATAGACATATTTCCTGTCTGTCTACTGGCTTAAACGCATGAAAAAGCTATTTTATTACTTTTCACTATTCTGGGCGGCTCTGCACTCAGGCACATTTTCCACTTGGAAAATGCGTAGTAATTGGTGCATATTTTTCCTGACTACAGATGCAATTTATTTCAGTAACAAGAACTGGCTTAGAAGGAAATATATACAGTTCTTGCATGGATAAGCATAGTTGGCCATTAGTGGTGCATATGGATAGGTGTTTTATTGGGAATTTGATGGCACTATTCCGGGAAAAGGTGTTGCGGTTAGTTAGCCAGTGATTTCCATAGATTTTTGTGGCTAAAAGCAAGGTTCAACTTTTACAAAATCCATGCCAGACAGAGGCTGCATAATGGCCTCGTTTTATTCGTCTGTCGGTTGTTGTCTGGTCATTGAAATGCGTTCTCTGCCCAAATGTTTGAGAGTTGTCTAAGTGGCTATGTGTTTTAATGGCCATGTTGCGAAATGGTTAATGCTGGGTAAAGTATGCTATGCTTTTGTCTGATTTCCGTCCGCCTGGATTTGAAGTGGGTGTAACGCAATTTCCGCTGCTTACGAGCAATTTGGCGCTATTTGGGCACTTTTAATGCATGCTCACAGGGGCGAGCCGAATTATGCCATATAAAATTTGTGACTCAAATCGTGCGGTTGGAGTGAGAGGCTCTGCCCGGCTGCTTGTGTAGAATTGTAATGGTCAATAAAAATAGAAATAAAAGTAAAAGGGGCAAGGCGCAAGGGGCAAGGGGCATGGGACATGGGGCAAGGCAGCAAAATCAACAAGCCGGCCACAAAACGGGGCATAAATTAAATTGTGCCGCAGTGCAGAATGGATGCATAGAAATGGTCAGAATGTGGGTGCTCTGAATGCTGGGTGGTGCAAGTGCTCAGCCCATTCACAACGCCATTCAGTTGCGTGTTTACAGCACAATTACAACTGTTAGGTTTTATGAGAGCCCAGTTGAACGCATGTCCGGGTTGCTAAATTTATTCTGCACTTTTATGAGCTCCCAGTGTCCCCGGCCCCCTGTTCCCATTATACACACAGGATATCCATCAGCTCCATTCCAGCAGCACACGCACAAAACAATTTCGCAGGCGTGCGTATTTAAAAGCAACACAGACACAAACAGCCATGCCCTGCTGAATAATTTATTTAATGTCTACTTTTAGGCGCAACCCCCGGCCAAGCAATTGCCGTGGCCTTTATTGCACTCGCACGCATTGAAAAGCGTTTGCCCACCGCCACAATCGCAGCTTGAATTTAAATGGGCCAAAAGCGAGTGGCAGTGGCGGCCCGGGGGGATAAATTTATGAGAAGCCGCTGAATGACCATTAAAACTGACGTCTCGAGTCCATTCCGAATGAGCCATGAATTCGAAGCGTTCGCACGCGTTTTAAACTGCCACGCAAGCACTTACGATTTATGAAAATGAAAATTGATTTGCGACCCGAAGGCGAATTAATATTATTATATTATATTATATTTCTTATACCCGTTACTCGTAGAGTAAAAGGATATACTAGATTCGTTTAATAGTAACAGGTAGAAGGAAGCATTTCCGACCATATAAATATATTCTTGATCAGGATCAATAGCCGAGTCGATCTGGCAATGTACGTCTGGCGCAATTCTATACAAATAGGCATTCAACTTTGAAAATTTATTGTTTTTTAATTTTTTTGTAATTTTTTTGATGTGATGATGTAGAAATTCAAAAATGTCCCAAGGCTGAAGTTCTAAAGCCCATAACTAAACCAATCTTAGTCCGATTTTGAAGTGGCATACCTCTAAAAGCTTCTTGAGCAAATCTCTAAACATCTGCATTCAAATTTGGGAATTTTTTTTTAAAATTTTTTTTTAATTTTTATGATGTGATGATGTAGAAATTCAAAAATGTCCCAAGACTGAAGTTCTAAAGTCCATAACTAAACCTATCCTAATCGGATTTTGATGTGGCATACCTCTAAATGTTTCTGGAGCAATTCTCTAAGCATCTGCATTCAAATTTGGAAATTTTTTTTTTTTTAATTTTTTTGTAATTTTTATGATGTGATGATGTAGAAATTCAAAAATGTCCCAAGACTGAAGTTCTAAAGTCCATAACTAAACCTATCCTAATCGGATTTTGAAGTGGCATACTTCTAAATGTTTCTGGAGCATTTCTCTAAATATCTGCATTCAAATTTGGAAATTTATTTTTTTTTAATTTTTTTGTAATTTTTATGATGTGATGATGTAGAAATTCAAAAATGTCCCAAG